GTCCAGCTCCTGCAGCACCTGGGCCAGGTGCCCGCCCTGCTGGGTCAGCCCCCAGCCGGCCACACTGCACCGGGCCCCCACCGCAGGCACCTGTGACTTACTGGGCAAGGCCAGGGGCCGGATGGTCCTGCTGGGCTTCACTTTCCCTTCCAGCTGCGAGTGACAGGAAGGGGCAGGTGAGGGGGACAGGCCGGCGGCGGGGTCCGTGGGGTGCTGAGTTCTCCCCCCGCCCATCCCCGTGCGCACCTTGAGCAGAGCGAGGTCATTCTCCAGGACAGGGGGCGGTCTGTAGCGAGGGTGCTGCACGATGGACTTGATGTGGAAGGTGAGGCCCGGCCCGCCCAGGGCGTGGAGCCCCAGCACCAACCTCAGCCCGGCCGTCCTGAGGACAGAGGGGGTCAGGGTGCCGCTGCCTGGCCCGCCGTGGACGACCCCCCGTGCCTGTCGCCCACGGCCGTCACTCACAGCCGCAGCCCCTCGCAGGCCTTGGCTCTCACCAGCCCTTCCCTGTGTCTGTTCAACCCACCTCCTCCAGGAAGCCCTCCCTGCTCTCACCCCTGCCTCAGACTTCTGCCCGGCCCGGGCCCCAGGCAAGGGCTGTGTGTCTGAAAATGCCAACCCCAAGCCTACAGCTTCACAAAAACCAGCCCTGGGAACTTCCTTCACGTGGGGCCCCAGGCTCAACCGCAGTGATTTGCACAGTTTGGCACATGCCAATCCTCCTAACTGTGCCCAAACTAGACAGCCAAGCTCGCTTTCCACAGGACTGAGGGCTCACTTCTTGCCACCTTGATGGTGGGGCTTCCTGGCATGCAGCAGAGCTGGGAGGCAGTCACAACGCACTCCATCCACACCAGGAACTGGATGTCTTCACACAGGAGGCTCCAGAGCGCCTCCTGTGAGCACCTGGATCAAGCTACACCTGAAGCTAGACCTCCTCCTAGACTTTGCTGTTACACAAGCTGGCAGATCCCTTTTTGTTATTTTGACCATCTTGACCTGGGCTGTGTATGACTGGCCAGTCCTGAGGTAAGGCAACTCCAGGATGGGTCATTTAGTGGCTCCCCAATTTTGTGGAACGCAGGTCAATTCCTGCACCACCCTCAAAGGCCAGCTTTGTCGTCCTGGCATCAGGTGGCAAACACCCCACCTGACCCTCCTTCCCCAGTGCAGAGGTCCCAGACTAAGTTGGATCCATCAGCAGGTGAATGGACAGACACAATCTGCTCCGTCCACACCAGGACTGTGGCTCAGCCATGACAGGACCCAGGGTGAGACACAACCCACTCTGTCTACACCAGGACTGTGACTAAGTCGTGGAAGGACTCAGGCTCTGACACAATCCGCGCCATCCACACCAGGACCGTGGCTCAGCTGTAACAGGATCCAGGCTCAGACACAACCCGCTCTGTCCACACCAGGACAGTGGCTCAGCC